TGATAGTTTTATATCATTTTTATTTTAGAAATTTAGTACCATGAAATTATCAATGTTGTTTCGTTAACAATTTTTTCGTTCACTCTTTCATTTTTTTTTTTTTACAATCGGTTTTACTTGCTATGAGATTTTATGCTAGATAAACCTATCACCCAGGCACCTACTTACTGCTAGGTAAAACCGAGGCAGCAGGTTGTAAGGAACTACCAAGCTTTCTTCACATATGTCGGGAAATCGAACCTGCGGATCCTCAGTAGTGAGCTATTGGTCTTCTAAACTACAAGGCATCGTTTATTATATTTTGCTTTTATATTTTCTTCACAAATAGTTGAATTTCTGTTTTTCCTTTTTTTTTTTTTCCATCTTTATAGCAAAAGTGTGTTGATCAGTGGTTCTTAATACCTCACTTAACTTCCTATTCACCCATTTACACTTTGAGAAATGGTATGTTAGACACAGCAATCTTGGTATTCTTTTTTTATCTTCCCAACAAGTGGCAAACGTTCCTCATTAAAGGATACCAAGGTTGCACTGGGGTCTAATTTTATAACTTGTTCCTAAACCCTTCCATTACAAAGAAAGGGTTATGCGGTGATCCGCACAACACACCACACAGTTAAATCATTATCCCCATATACCCATTTACGGTAAGTCAAATTACAAAGTACATAGGGTCCTACTGGAAATCATTCCACGTACCAAGGTAAATGAATGTAGTTATCACAATACAAACAAGTAAATGATATATCACCCTAACAGGTTCAGTCGAAAAATTACAAGTAATAGCCACGATCGCCACCAGGGTCACAAGGAATGTGAAAATACAAATTTAAGAGATCTTTAAACCCCCACACTAGGCGCACCCGCAACATTACACAAGAGGCCAACGCACCCGACTTGTGACAAATACAAATATAGCCATACACCAAACGCACACCCCACAACACACCCACACACACCACCCCACCAACACCAAAAACAAAAACCCCACCACACCCACACACACACCCTCAAAACCACACCCACCACAACACACCACACACCACACACACACACACACCCACCACCCACAACAACACACACACCCACACACACACCCACAACACACCCACACACACAAAACACCACACCCTCAACAAAACACGACACCACACAACCCCACACACCCCCACCACACACACACACACCACGCACACCCCAAAACCCCAAAACACACACACACACACACACACCCACCACCCCCCACCACACCCCCACACCACACACCACCAACACACAACACACACACAAACCACACACACACCCCACACCGCACTCACCCACCACACACGAAACGCACCACACACACACACACCACACACACACACACACCCCACACACACCCACACCCACCCTACACTCCCCCCCACACACACACACACCCACACAAAACCAACCACCACACCACACACACACACTAAAACCCCCACACCACACAACAACACCACACACACACCCCAACCACACAAAACACCAAACACACACACACACACACACACACACAGGGTTTAATGCATTTTTTTAAAAAGCTAGCAAAGTCAGGGTATTTCTCCAGAATGGTCTGTATATACCACTGTGGTTAAAATCTTTGGGCCATTTCTTGAAAAATTTCTGATGAGTTGTTTCTAATTCATTAATTTGATCCACTCCAGTACTAATGACGCAAGGTGTGAACACTCTCATAGCCGGGTGTGATCACTCAGTACAAAATGCGCAAGTGTGACATAGCCATTGGAATTTTTCATTTCTTTTGGTCTACATCTGGTGGTGGGGGATTTAACCTACCAAGATACTTGTAACCCAGCCGGAGCCGGGCAGTAGTGACAGCCGGAGCCGGGCGGTAGTGACATCCAAGAGTCTGCTTATCTTGTTGGATGCACCATAGACATGTGGTTCCTCCTGCATGATGGAATGATGATAGATGGACTGACTTGTGTCAATCTCCCTAAGTCTTAAGTCAATAAAGTTCATTTGAAGTTCTTTTCGTATTATTGTTCTCAAACTGCTAAGTGACAACCCAAGATTGTAATCTACCCAGTGTATGGTAGAGTTATTATTTAAAGAATTAAGAGTAAGACGGAGAATAGGACAGCAGATGAGCAAGGAGGCTTTAGGAAAGGTAGGGGGTGTGTGGACCAGGTGTTTACAGTGAAACTTATAAGTGAACAGTATTTAGATAAGCCTAAAGAGGTCTTTGTGGCATTTATGGATTTGGAAAAGGCGTATGACAGGGTGGATAGGGGGGCAATGTGGCAGATGTTGCAAGTGTATGGTGTAGGAGGTAGGTTACTGAAAGCAGTGAAGAGTTTTTACGAGGATAGTGAGGCTCAAGTAAGAGTATGTAGGAAAGAGAGAAATTATTCCAGTAAAAGTAGGCCTTAGGACAAGGATGTGTTTATGTCACCGTGGTTGTTTAATATATTATAGATGGGGTTGTAAGAGAAAATAAATGCCAGGGTCTTGGCAAGAGGCGTGGAGTTAAAAGATAAAGAATCACCAAAAATTGGGAGTTGTCCCCAGTTGCTCTTTGCTGATGACACTGTTTCTCTTGGGAGATTTCTGAAGAGAAGTTGCAGAGATTGGTGGATGAATTTGGTTTGGGTGTGCAAAAGAAGAAATTAAAGTGAATACAGGAAAGAGTAAGGTTTTGAGGATAACAAAAAGATTAGGTGGACGAAAGATTGGATATCAGATTGGAGGGAAAAGAGTAAGAGGAGGTGAATGTATTCAGATATTTGGGAGTTGGATGTGTCAGCGGATTGGTCTATGAAAGATGAGGTGAATCATAGAATTGATGAGGGGAAAAGGGTGAGTGGTTGCACTTAGGAGTCTGTGGAGACAAAGAACTTTGTCCTTGGAGGCAAAGAGGGGAATGTATTTAGAGTATAGTTTTACCAACGATCTTATATGGGTGTGAAAGCATGGGTGATGAATGTTGCAGCGAGGAGAAGGCTGGAGGCAGTTTGGAGATGTCATGTCTGAGGGCAATGTGTGGTGTGAATATAATGCAGAGAACTCGTAGTTTGGAAGTTAGGAGGAGGTGTGGGATTGCCAAAACTGGGTTTTCCAGAGGGTGATTAGGGTTGTGGAGGTGGTTCGGACATGTAGAGAGAATGGAGCGAAACAGAGTGACTTCAAGAGTGTATCAGTCTGTAGTGGAAGGAAGGCGGGGTGGGGGTCGGCCTAGGAAAGGTTGGAGGGAGGGGGTATAAGGAGGTTTAGTGTGCGAGGGGCTTGGACTTCCAGCAGGCATGCGTGAGCGTTTTGATAGGAGTGGATGGAGAAAAAATGGTTTTTTAAAAACTTGACGTGCTGTTGGAGTGTAAGCAAAGTAACATTTATGAAGGGTTCAGGGAAACCGGCAGGCCGACTTGAGTCCTGGAGATGGGAAGTACAGTGGCCTGCAAATCTGAAGGAGGGGTGTTTAATATTTTGCAGTTTAAAAAACTGTGTGTAAAAGCATCCTTCTGGCAAGACAGTGATGGAGCGAATGATGGTGAAAGTTTTTCTTTTTCGGGCCACCCTGCCTTGGTGGGAATCGGCCATTTTTTGATAATATAAAATAATTAATAAATATTATATATATATATATATATATATATAATATATAATATATTATATATATATATATATATTAATATATATATATACCCCATCATTGAGATAGGTTTATTACTCTCGAAGTATGTTCAGCGAGATCAATATATCTCTCGGTGTATATACTGATTTAAGAATAGGTACAAAAGAGCCTACGAGGCAAGAAGGTAGTGAACTCGGTAATGGTTAGTTAAAAGGCTGGACTCGGAGCTGTCATTCGACCCCTACAACCACAAATTCTCATGCACAGATGGGTAAGCTTTTTTCACTGCATGTACACTGAAAAATACAAAGGTCTCAGTGTAGAAAACTGAGTGATAGACTCTTACAGGTGTATATATAATAAGTTACATGTGTGTTGATCCCCTAGTGTAGTACTCGCGCAGATGTGAGGGTGGGATGAGTGAGGGCCGGGACTGTTAGGTTGGGTGGTGTGAGGGTGGGGACTCTTTGAGTGGGGAGTGTGAAGGTGGGGAGTGTTAGGGTGGGGAGTGTTAGGGTGGGGAGTGTTAGGGTGGGGAGAGTGAGGGTGGGGAGAGTGAGGGTGGGGAGTGTGAGGGTGGGGAGGTGAGGGTGGGAGAGTGAGGTGGGGAGAGTGAGGGTGGGGAGTGTGAGGGTGGGGAGTGTGAGGTGGGGAGAGTGAGGGTGGGGGAGTGTGAGGGTGGGGAGTGTGAGGGTGAGGAGAGTGAGGGTGGGGAGTTTTGAGGGTGGGGAGTGTGAGGGTGGGGAGTGTGAGGGTGGGGAGTGTGAGGGTGGGGAGAGTGAGGGTGGGGAGTGTGAGGGTGGGGAGAGTGAGGGTTGGGAGTGTGAGGGTGGGGATGTGTGAGGGTGGGGAGAGTGAGGGTGGGGAGTGTGAGGGTGGGGAGAGTGAGGGTGGGGAGTGTGAGGGTGGGGAGAGTGAGGGTGGGGAGTGTGAGGGTGGGGAGAGTGAGGGTGGGGAGTGTGAGGGTGGGGAGAGTGAGGGTGGGGAGTGTGAGGGTGGTGGTAGTGTGAGGGTGGGGAGAGTGAGGTGGTGAGTGTAGGGTGGGGAGAGTGAGGGTGGGGATGTGAGGGTGGGGAGTGTGAGGTTTGGGGAGAGTGAGGTGGTGAGATGAGGGTGGGGAGTAGTGAGGGTGGGGAGTGTTGAGGGTGGGGAGTGTGAGGGTGGGGAGAGTGAGGTGGGAGAGTGAGGTGGGGAGAGTGAGGGGGGGGAGTGTGAGGGTGGGGAGTGTGAGGGTGGGGAGAGTGAAGTGGGAGAGTGAGGGTGGGGAGAGTGAGGGTGGGGAGTGTGAGGGGTAAGTGTGGGCTGGCCGCATCCCAGTCAGTGTAAGGGAAAGTCTGTTCCAGATCACAGCTGTGCGCGATACTGTCCTCAGCTACTGTGCGCGATACTGTCCTCAGCTACTGTGCGCGATACTATTGTCAGTTCCTCCGCTAATATAACTTTTAGTTCTTTCCTTTGTCTCGGTGAGGGAGTGAGAGGCCGTAGATCAGTAGTCTAATGATGTTCTCCTTCGTTATTAGTTGAAAAAAACTTTTTCGAAAGGTCTACCAACTTTTCCCTCAGTTTTCACGCTTAATGCAAGTGTTATAATTTAGAATGTTTATAAGAGCTGTACACATTTTAAATATATTGATTTTCTAATGAAATTTGGATAATTATGAAACTCCCGTATAAGATTATTATCAAGTGACAATGTTGATATATTATTGATTTTTCAATGGGGAAAATTAATGTGAAAAATTTTAGAAATGCATCAATGTACTGTACTTTGACTGAGAATATTTCCTAGGGTAAGTGAAATTATTAAGATGAACCTCTCTGACACATATGGTTATGAGCCGAACTGCACCTTGGCTGACCTAACAGCTTATGAACTTGATGAATGGGACTGGTATTCTTTACAAAACATAACTCTAGAAGAGGAAGCCAACTTCATGAACTGTACCTACTTACACCACATCGTCAACATTAACTGTTCCCACGAAGACTACTTATGTTGGTGCGCCAAGGACGTGTACACTCACTATTGTTCTGGTACTCCTGAATACTACTCCTACATCTACCGTATTATCGGTACGTTATTTCAAGGTATTATCTTCGTTATCGGAGTCATCGGCAACGTTATGGTGGTCATCGTTGTTGCCAAAAATAAAAATATGGCTACACCTACTAACTGCTACTTAGTGAGCTTGGCCATCGCGGACTGTGCCGTCCTCATAGCCGCGGTCCCGCAAGAAATTGTCAGCTATTATCTTATCGGCAACCACTGGATCTGGGGCCACGTCGGCTGTGCTATCATGATATTCCTTCAAAATTTAGGCATTAACGCGAGTTCCCTGAGCTTAACAGCTTTTACAGTCGAGCGCTACATCGCCATATGTCACCCAATGAAAGCGCAAACAGTGTGTACAGTAGAGAGAGCCAAGAAGATTACATTGTTAGTGTGGGTATTTGCAGTATGTTACTGCTCACCCTGGCTTTATCTGACCACTGTCATCCCGCTGACCTACGCTGTTGACTATCCCACACAAGAATGTACCTTCAAGCTCTCCAGGGACCAGTATTTCCTCTACTATTTCTTAGACATTATAGTATTTTATGTGGTTCCTCTGCTGCTGTCTTGCGTACTCTATTCCCTCATAGCCCGGATACTCTTCACTTCACAGCTACCCAAGAACCCAACAGTCAATGGTCATCACAACAAGAAAAGGGTCAACTCTCCTCGTGTTCAGGTAGAATAAATAATGCAACTCTACTTAATGGTAAACTCTTATAATTAAATATTATTGTTAATGAACGTTCTCTCAATCTAAACGATTTAACTGTTTTAACAAATCATATTGTATTCTGAATGTATTCTAAATGTATTCTAAATAATATAAGGCGAAACAAACGAGAAAAAGAAGATATTGATTGAGTACTTAAGTATATATCTTAATATCTTTCACTGGATTACATTATATACGCAACTCAAGATGAGCACAACTCAAGACGAGCACAACTCAAGACGAACACAACTCAAGACGAACACAACTCAAGACGAACACAACTCAAGACGAACACAACTCAAGACGAACACAACTCAAGACGAAAACAACTCAAGACGAAAACAACTCAGACGAACACAACTCAAGACGAAAAACAACTCAAGACGAAAACAACTCAAGACGAACACAACTCAAGACGAACACAACTCAAGACGAACACAACTCAAGACGAAACAACTCAAGACGACCACAACTCAAGACGAACACAACTCAAGACGACCAAAAACTAAAAGACGAACACAACTCAAGACGAACACAACTCAAGACGAACACAACTCAAGACGAAAACAACTCAAGACGACCACAACTCAAGACGACCACAACTCAAGACGACCACAACTCAAGACGAACACAGCTCAAGACGACCACAACTCAAGACGACCACAACTCAAGACGAACACAACTCAAGACGAACACAACTCAAGACGACCACAACTCAAGACGACCACAACTCAAGACGACCACAACTCAAGTCGAACACAACTCAAGACGAAACACAACTCAAGACGACCACAACTCAAGACGAACACAACTCAAGACGAACACAACTCAAGACGACCACAACTCAAGTCGAACACAACTCAAGACGAACACAACTCAAGACGAACACAACTCAAGACGAACACAACTCAAGACGAACACAACTCAAGACGAACACAACTCAAGACGACCACAACTCAAGACGAACACAACTCAAGACGAACACAACTCAAGACGACCACAATCAAGGACGAACACAACTCAAGACGAACACAACTCAAGACGAACACAACTCAAGACGAACGCAACTCAAGACGAACGCAACTCAAGACGAACTCAAATTTTACAACAAATGTAATATAACTCGGGTGTGTATATAGTTGACAACAAGGTTATACATAAAATTCTTGGACGCAGTATTTTACGCAACAATCATCTAAATATAAACTGCTTCATAATTTTCTACAAAAGCCCAAAAGTTTCTTGCTTACTCAAGAAAGTAAGAGACGCATCAAACCACTATAAATAATAATTATTATTAATTGTTGATAAATTAGACACGTGTATCCCAGGAAATGTTTGGCCACACAGTGGCTTCGTCAGTTCTAAACAGAGAATAATGGTGACGATCAGGAGTTTGAGGAAATCAGACTGATGGACTGATTACATCGATTCCAGGCTGAGGGACTGATTGCCGCAAACTCCTTCTGCTCTTCAAGATTCTCCTTTGTATGGACTGATGAAGCCCCTGTGTGGCGAAACGTTTCCTCAATAAAGACACCCAAGTGTTGTACATGTGTCTAATTGTTCAACTTGTCGGTTCTCTGAATCATTCACCTACATGATTATTTGTCAGGGGGTACACTGGAGGTTATACATTGTGTCAGGGGGTACACTGGAGGTTATACATTGTGTCAGGGGGTACACTGGAGGTTATACATTGTGTCAGGGGGTACACTGGAGGTTATACATTGTGTCAGGGGGTACACTGGAGGTTATACATTGTGTCAGGGGGTACACTGGAGGTCATACATTGTGTCAGGGGTACACTGGAGGTCATACATTGTGTCAGGCTGTACACTGGAGGTCATACATTGTGTCAGGCTGTACACTGGAGGTCATACATTGTGTCAGGCTGTACACTGGAGGTCATACATTGTGTCAGGCTGTACACTGGAGGTTATACATTGTGTCAGTCGGTACACTGGAGGTTATACATTGTGTCAGGCGGTACACTGGAGGTATTACAATGTGTTAGGCGGTACACTGGAGGTATTACAATGTGTCAGGCGGTACACTGGAGGTTATACATTGTGTGTGGCGGTACACTGGAGGTCATACATTGTGTCAGGCAGTACACTGGAGGTCATACATTGTGTCAGGGGTACACTGGAGGTCATACATTGTGTCAGGCGGTACACTGGAGGTTATACATTGTGTCAGGCGGTACACTGGAGGTATTACAATGTGTTAGGCGGTACACTGGAGGTATTACAATGTGTCAGGCGGTACACTGGAGGTTATACATTGTGTGTGGCGGTACACTGGAGGTCATACATTGTGTCAGGCTGTACACTGGAGGTTATACATTGTGTCAGGCGGTACACTGGAGGTCATACATTGTGTCAGGCTGTACACTGGAGGTTATACATTGTGTCAGGCGGTACACTGGAGGTTATACATTGTGTCAGGCGGTACACTGGAGGTATTACAATGTGTTAGGCGGTACACTGGAGGTATTACAAAGTGTCAGGCGGTACACTGGAGGTTATACATTGTGTGTGGCGGTACACTGGAGGTCATACATTGTGTCAGGCTGTACACTGGAGGTTATACATTGTGTCAGCGGTACACTGGAGGTCATACATTGTGTCAGGCTGTACACTGGAGGTTATACATTGTGTCAGGCGGTACACTGGAGGTCATACATTGTGTCAGGCTGTACACTGGAGGTTATACATTTTGTCAGGCGGTACACTGGAGGTCATATATTGTGTCAGGCGGTACACTTGAGGTCATACATTGTATCAGGCGGCACACTGGAGGTTATACATTGTGTCAGGCGGTACACTGGAGGTATTACATTGTGTTAGGGGGTAGATTGGAGGTTATACATTGTGTTAGGCGGTACACTGGAGGTTATACAATGTGTTAGGCGGTACACTGGAGGTTATACATTGTGTCAGGCGGCACATTGGAGGTTATACATTGTTTTAGGCAGTACACTGGAGGTCATGCATTGTGTCAGGCGGTACACTGGAGGTTATATTTTGTCAGGCGGTACACTGGAGGTCATACACTGTGTCAGGCGGCACATTGGATGTTATACATTGCGTCAGGCGGTACACTGGAGGTCATACATTGTGTCAGGCTGTACACTGGAGGTTATACATTTTGTCAGGCGGTACACTGGAGGTCATATATTGTGTCAGGCGGTACACTTGAGGTCATACATTGTATCAGGCGGCACACTGGAGGTTATACATTGTGTCAGGCGGTACACTGGAGGTATTACAATGTGTTAGGCGGTACACTGGAGGTTATACATTGTGTTAGGCGGTACACTGGAGGTTATACAATGTGTTAGGCGGTACACTGGAGGTTATACACTGTGTCAGGCCGCACACTGGAGGTTATACAATGTTTTAGGCAGTACACTGGAGGTCATGCATTGTGTCAGGCGGTACACTGGAGGTTATATTTTGTCAGGCGGTACACTGGAGGTCATATACTGTGTCAGGCGGCACACCTGGAGGTCATACACTGTGTCAGGCGGCACATTGGATGTTATACATTGTGTCAGGCGGTACACTGGAGGTCATACATTGTGTCAGGCGGCTCATTGGAGGTCATACATTGTGTAAGGCGATTCACTGGAGGACATACATTGTGTCAGGCTGTACACTGGAGGTCATTCATTTCTGTGTATCCTAACTACGAATTTCTTGGTGTTCAACCACAAAATATATGATTGAAAATCACACTATACTGGCTGCAACAATCACACTATACTGGCTGCAACAATCACACTATACTGGCAGCAACAATCACACTATACTGGCTGCAACAATCACACTATACTGGCTGCAACAATCACACTATACTGGCTGCAACAATCACACTATACTGGCTGCAACAATCACACTATACTGGCTGCAACAATTACACTATACTGGCTGCAACAATCACACTATACTGGCTGCAACAATCACACTATACTAGCTGCAACAATCACACTATACTGGCTGCAACAATCACAACCCTTGCTGCAACAATCACACTATACTGGCTGCAGCAATCACACTATACTGGCTGCAGCAATCACACTATACTGGCTGCAACAATCACACTATACTGGCTGCAACAATCACAACTCTTGCTGCAACAATCACACTAGTCTGGCTGCAACAGTTACACTATACTGGCTGCAACAATCACACTACACTGGCTGCAACAATCAGACTATACTGGCTGCAACAATTACACTATACTGGCTGCAACAATCACAATGTTGTGGCTGCAATACTCACACTATTCTGGCTGAAACAATCACACAACCCTGGCTGCAACAATCACACTACCTTGGCTGCAAGAATCACACTGCTCTGGCTGCAATACTCACACTATACTGGCTGCAACAATCACACTACCATGGCTGCAACAATCACACTACATAGCTGCAACAATCACACTATACTGGCTGCAACAATCACACTATACTGGCTGCAACAATTACACTATACTGGCTGCAACAATCACACTATACTGGCTGCAACAATCACACTATACTAGCTGCAACAATCACACTATACTGGCTGCAACAATCACAACCCTTGCTGCAACAATCACACTATACTGGCTGCAGCAATCACACTATACTGGCTGCAGCAATCACACTATACTGGCTGCAACAATCACACTATACTGGCTGCAACAATCACAACTCTTGCTGCAACAATCACACTAGTCTGGCTGCAACAGTTACACTATACTGGCTGCAACAATCACACTACACTGGCTGCAACAATCAGACTATACTGGCTGCAACAATTACACTATACTGGCTGCAACAATCACAATGTTGTGGCTGCAATACTCACACTATTCTGGCTGAAACAATCACACAACCCTGGCTGCAACAATCACACTACCTTGGCTGCAAGAATCACACTGCTCTGGCTGCAATACTCACACTATACTGGCTG